AAAAAAAATTTGAAAATTTAATAAATTAACATAATTAATTAGGATTAAGAGATTTTTTTTATAAAATAAAATTAATAATACGTAATAAATTAGAAATTTAAATATGAAATTTCATTTGCTCCATCCCTGATGATTGATATAAATATTAAGAACAATAATCACTAAGAGAAATAGAAGGAAATGTAAATAATGAAAATTATTGAAGATTTTATATATCATTTTTAAGAAATTAGCTTATAATAGACTTTATGCCCTAAGCCTAAACTTTAAAATCAGTCAACACACGATAGGGATTTACAATGCATGTATCGATAATATTAATTTACTTACTTTCCATATGTTTTGTATTACAAAAAATGGTAACTTAGCCTGTACGTTAAGCAGAGAACACATTTTTTCTGTTTTAAAACAAAAAATTAATTAGCATTTATTTCACATTTATGAGTATTAAGTTTCAATTAACCTTCCAATTAATGGAGAGCGGGGACGGATTTATTTCTTTTTCTGTTAAGAATTAAAAGTTGAATAATTCTAGACTGACGCTTGTTTTATCAGAGGTTTAAGTTTGATACTGATATATAATGTTCATGATCTCATGCATATGAAAATTTAGCATCACTGAGACGGTGGCCCATATACTTCAACCCTAATTTGAAGGCCATAAAGGTTTATAATTATTATTGCAGAAGACTTCCAGAAAGAAAACCCCTTTCTTTCTTTCACAGATGTTGATTTGTATTGTATTGGAAAGAAAAGTATATATAGTACACTGATGATGCTGAAATAAGACAGAATTTAAGTTTGCATTTAAAGCAGTGGGATCAGATAGTAATGGGGTAATAACTAGCCATACATAAATATATCTTGCTTCAAATTTTTTAATTAATCTTTGTCTTTTTCCGTATATTCTTATCAAATCATCATAAACCAACAAGATAGTGGTTCTGTGACCTAATTAAGTTTTTGTTAAGTCACTCACGATTTTAAGTTTTTAACTTTGATGCTTCTTTTTGTACCATATTTTTGTGTTTTAATTGTAGGTTGAAATTGTGTTTTGTTGCTTTTATTTGATTTCACCACTCGAATTCTCTTATGTTTAAATACGATTTTTACGTTGCAACAATGACAATTTGCATTGTCAGCAGTCTACAACAACGCAAAATTGTCGAGGACTGCTCATCGTAGTAATGTAATCCCAGTGCAAAGAGGCAGTGTCATGGTATGTTAGTGTATTGTGACGCAACCGGAGTATTGTAATACACCTTTTCAACAGTGTAAATGTTGTCAGAAGATGATGATATTTCGACGACACACTAACTTGGAAGCAGATGATTTTTTCTGATGAATTTTTTCCGCGTCACAATAGATTACATTGGGAAACAACAAATCTATGGTTTTATTTTATGAGAGTTTATCTATAAATTTGGTGGGTAAAAGTATTAAGTAGTAGGGTTTGTTTGTTGTAGTCCTCATAGCAAAGAAATGTTTAAATTTGCAACGAAAAGGGGGAATTCATGAGGATCATTAACCACTGGAGGTGGCTCTTTATGTCACATGTTATTGCCAGCCATGCATGTTAGGTAGACTCGATAGTGATCCATGTAATCAAGTTTCATTTAAAGTAGCTACATTACATATAAGGTTTTCATTAATATATACTCCAATTTTTTCATAAGACAAAAAATATCTCAACATAAGCCACATAAAATTAAAAAAAAAAAAAAACACCCAGAAAGATATTTGAAACACTGATAACTACTCTGTTAACCCTCTATCTATTAATACATTACCTTTTCTTGATTTAAATATAATTATTCAAAATGTATGTGGATATAGTAGTGTGTGTGTGTGTCTCTACAGAGAAAGAACCTAACACGTTAATGAGTCATGAAAACATAATCAAAGATGGAACTAAATTAACCTAACAAGTTAAATGTCTCATCAAAACGTATCAGGATCATATATCTTGTGGACCTTATTCAACTATAGTTAGTATTATTTAATATGGATTTGGTATCACTTTAATTTGCTCTCTATTCTCTACATAAATAAATGACCATTCAATCTCTCATTATTGTCCATATATAAATATATTTCAATTAAAAACCCTTCCAACCGAAAAATCTTTTTATAATACTAATTAAGGAATTTTACTTTTGGAAAAATATATATTTGATATTATGAAAAGGGTTTATTTCATTTCTTATGTGTAATCACTTAAAATTAAACTCATCCATTTGGTTCAGAAAGTATTAAAAACCTCTTATTAAAGGGTTTTTGATAATTTTGTAAAAAGATTTTTAATATTTTTAGGAGGATTTGCAATACTTTTTAAACAAGCAGGTGAGTTTAATCCTAAGAGATCTCACCTGAGAAAAATGAAATAAACTCTTATAAAAAAACGCGTTCTAGTCTTTCATTCAATTTGTTTGATGAGTATTTCTCATTATAAGAGAAAATTTATTAATTGGAAGGTAAAACTCTTTATTGCATTCCATTATTAGCAATGTTTAATATTATCAGAAGAGAGCATGCACAGAATATTATAATAAGAAATCGTGCATGGATCTACCAATCTCCATTGATGCTACAAAAAGAAGTAGTTCACCATATCTATGAAAGCGTGTATGTACGTAGTCCTTTTATTCTACTGTCTTGGTGCCAAATTCTTGAATAATTCAGTGTAGATTTTAATATAATAAATTTTAAGCCTCAGGTTGATGTGTATTTGGCAGTGATCAGTACACAAATTATGAAATTCAGCATCAGAGAAATCTATGATCCTGCAAAAAGTACCCATTTTATACGCCAATGAAAATGAGGCAGCAGGCAGAAGCAATCTATATGTATTCACCGCAATTAAATGAATTTCAGCATCTTGTATCACAAGATAAGATATAGATTTCACATGCACCTTCTTTAATATTTATTTGACAGATATAGAAACCAGAGACAAATTTGCAAATCATGTCTGCCTTACAGTGGTTAAATTTTTTTACTTTTTTTAATAAATTTAATTGCATTCTTTTTATTTATTTATGGGAGTTTTGTATATGTGTATTGAATTGAAGTAATTCTGAAGTTGAAGTTAGGTAATTTAATGGCCATATTGTAAAGAAATTATACTTGTGTCCTGAAATATTTTTTAATTGTGTTGGAGATTTCATAAATACTGCAAGCTCATCTTTGGTTGTCTGCTAATCAAAGCAATCCGCGTTCTTCTACACGATGGGCATAGTACTCTTGCATTCATTTTTACTGTGTAAATTAAAGTTAATTAATTAAAGCATATTTAGTATTTACTATGAATATGTGGTAAGACAGACTACCATATTCACGATTCTATAAGTTAATTAATACATTGATATTTAATTAAAATCTATAAAGCATATTAATTTTATAGATAGATGATACAGAGTCTAAATTCATATGTGACATAAATAGATTAATATGTGATATATATAACTAATCTGATATCCATGTTATTCTAAAGACTTGTTTGATATAGAATTTAAATGCAGTTTTTTCTTTTAAAAAATAACGGGTATTTTTTTTTTTTTTTTTTTTCTATATTTGTAAGTTGTAATGGCGTGCCAGATAATGAGTTGTGGCATCTGTAAAGGCATGATTTAGTAGAGAAACCAAAACACACTATCCTGTATCCTGTGAAAGATTTGCATGGAAAGCCAAAACCATGATATATATGAAGATTTTAACTAGTCTCACACCGAAAGGTCAAGAAATTCACATGTTTCCCTCTTATTATTTTCCAAAAAGAGAGACTTGAACCAGCCATTTTACCCTTTCATCTGCAAGACTTTCGTGACATTATCCCCTATTTTTACTCTTATATATGGCTATTATTCTTTTAAATTTTCTACCAAATTTCTTTTTTGCTTTAAGTAATTAACAATTGAATGTCTAAATATTGTACGCTCTAACTCCAAAGGATTGACTTGGCGGTCAAGAAAATTTGCTTAATTCCTTGAATTCTTAGATTCAAATCTTAGAGTTATATGTTATAATAATATTATGGTTTATCTAGTCCTTTAAAATTGTAAAATATTTAATGGACTTCGAAGATTAGTTGAGATGTGCGCAAGTTAGTCCAAACACTTCAATTACCAAATACATATATATATATATATATATATATATATATGTATTACACTCCCATACCATATAAGATTATTAACATTAATTTTTACCCTTATTCTGCCAAATTTTGCCCACTACTTGACTAGACTTTACTAATATTGTAACTTTTTAATTAATGTAAACGAAAAAATGGAAGATGAAAAAAGTTATCTATATATCAATTAGTCAATCAAGAACTAATCAACCTTATCTTAAATACATGTATTAACTTTAAGTTATAGTATTTATTAATTATGAGTTTCTATATGATTATCGCATGAAAGATCTTTCAAGCAATGTTGACAATATCGAAGATCGGTTAATTGTGCTTCACACTTTAAAATGAGAAAACCCTTTTAAAAATACTTTGAATATATAAAAGAAATAATACTTTAGCAAATGATTTTCAAAAACACTTTTTACGTAAATTGCTTTTTGCAAAATATACACTCATGTACCTCCTTTAAATCATGTTTCTACAAGGAAATGAGTAAACAGACTTTGGTCTCATAAAGAGTATTATAATAAATAAAGTCAATTCATCATTTCCATTTTATTTTTCTGAAGAGAAGTTCAATTATTCTCAATTCTCACTTCTGTAACCTGAATTAAAAGATACACCAACTATTTTGCTCACTATTTGGAACTAAAATCCATATACTAGATTAAAAGACTACAAATATATATTGTCAAGGCTAATTACTTCCAATTGAAATACCAAGGTTAATTACATGTTACAAAGAGATCCCAACTTTTTAGAATCCCAGCTACAAGACTAATTAAACCCCAGAGATAGAAATTAATCAAACACCCTTTTATCCTTTTTTTTTTTTTGGTTGTCCACGGATATAAAACTCAAAATAAAACAAAGCAAAATACCAATAGAAATTAGAAAAAAAATAACAATGAACATTTATGATCAGAATATTGGATCAGAGAGTTCCATGATCGGATTAATCTCCTCCACTTGACCAGTTGACTCATCCAAAAGCCATTTCTCAAGAAACGATAATGGAGGTGCTGAGTTTTCAGATCTTTGCAGCTTCCTCTCTGCCGGCACCATTGCTCTAATATTAACCTTCTCTTCATTTGGGCTTTCTTTTGTAGTGGACTGCTGATCACTTGTAGACTTGTCCCATGCCACATTGTTCAAATTCTCAAATGATAAAATTGATACAAACTCTTCATGAGAAATCAAATCTCCTCCTTCTTGCTCCTCTTTCGGACGGTAGCAATGAACAGAAGTCGTCGCTACTGAATTGTCGAGACTATCGTTGTTATCGAAGCTGCTGTTGTTGTTCTGGTTTGAATTTCGATGATCAGGAGCTTTGACGAGAGAATTGTTATTGTTGTTATTATTGTTCTTCGGCGAGGATCTCATCCAACCTTCCAGAAGACGAGAAATATTCTCGGTGCTCGATGCATACGAGGAGCCTTGATTAATGGTGGAGATAAGATTGGAGGAGTCTTGGTTGGTGAAATCTAAGCTCCTCTCGTCAAAACTCTTGGATACAAACTGATGACTGGTAGTTGAATTATCTGCCGTCATTTGTGGTTCCAAAGATGACTGAAACTTCTTCAGCTTCTTCTTCAGATGAGTGTTCCAGTAGTTCTTTATATCATTATCTGTTCTTTGTGGAAGATATGAAGCTATGGCTGCCCATCTGTTCAACGGTAATAAGTTCAAAAATTTTGTAAATCATGAACTAAATATAGTGAATAATTGAGGAAAAAACAAAAAGAATTCAAAATGAAATTGAGATGTTTGAAGATTTTACTTGTTACCCAATAAAGCTTGCAAATGAATAATCATTCCTTCTTCATGAGGAGTGAAATTTCCTCTTTTGATTCCAGGTCTAAGATAATTAGTCCATCTAAGCCTGCAACTTTTGCTGCACCTCAACAAACCTTATGCAATAAAAAAAAATGGTGNTCAAAATGAAATTGAGATGTTTGAAGATTTTACTTGTTACCCAATAAAGCTTGCAAATGAATAATCATTCCTTCTTCATGAGGAGTGAAATTTCCTCTTTTGATTCCAGGTCTAAGATAATTAGTCCATCTAAGCCTGCAACTTTTGCTGCACCTCAACAAACCTTATGCAATAAAAAAAAAAAAATGGTGATCATACATTAGCAAAATAATGGACGAAGATTAACATAAAAATAAAATAAATTAAGATAAGTTAGATCTGTGAAAATCCGTAGATATAAAAATATATACCAGTGTTAGTGGGGACTGATCTCCAATTTCCAGGACCATGTTCTTGAATATAAGAAACAAGAATGATGTCTTCTTCAGGAGTCCATGGACCTTTCTTGATGCCAACTTTATCACAGCAAGGAGGTCTTCCCATGGCCGAAGGATGATGAATCTCTTTTTCTCTCACCTTAATTTGTTGATGGGTCTAGGCTTCTATGGAGCTTTGAAATAGTGACATATATACATGGAGACTTAAAAGGAGAAGGAAGGGAAACCTTTTTACACTCATTTAATCTACCATGCTGACTCGATTAAACTTAGTTTTAAATGCTTGAAGTAGTCAATTCACAAAGCGAAGTCAGAAGGGGAGGGAAGGGAAGTGAATATTTTGATCTCTCTCGTCTTTCGAGATATTATCATTTATAGGACAATTTTTTCCAGAATTATTTTCGAGGACACCATTTTAAGAAACTGATTGTTAGAGGTTTTTTTTTTTTCTCCTTTTGTTGCAAAAATTCACAAATAAAGGACATTGAAGGGTAAAACATCGTTAAACATTAACTTGATCTTCTGAAATGACTTAAATACCCGCGTATACTACATTTATAATCTCAAAAAAATTAAATAATTTTTGTATATATAATTATATAAATTAAAAAATTTCAAAACCATATATTAAAAAAAAAACTAAAATGAAAAATATAACAAAATACATTAATAAACTTATTTTATTTGAGAATCTTATTTAAAATTAACTCTATTTTATTACTGTTAAGTGTCCTCTAATCAAAAGTTTTATAAAAAATAATGTCCTCTAATTATCATTATTTTTTTTATAATCGAGAGTTTCTGAGTCAATTTACACGCATCTCAATTAATCTCTCAAGACCTTAGAACTATCGATTGGATAAGACCTTCAGTAACTATCCTTATTAGTATCTGAAAAGTCTTAAACTGATGATTTCTTAAGTAATACACTCAAGAATCTCTATCGAACTAGTCACCCAAAAGTAGTTCTAACTATCAATTTCTTAAAATGGTATTCTCTAATTCATGTATTTCTAAAAAAAAAAAAAAAAATGTCCTGTAGATGATAATATCCCCTGCTTTTTCCCTTCTGGCTGATCACATGCAAAGCCACACAACCTTTTTACCAAAGCTAGGAAACTTCACAATCCTAGCCTTTATTTCTCTTTAACATCAACCTCTCCCTCAAGTCAAGTCAATTTTTATTTATTTTTTTAAACTTTGCTTGACTATCAGATAACCAATTTCTATTTCTCTAGAAGTATTTATTGCTTGCATATTACTGCACCAAACAATAAAAATAGTTTGGTCATTTTGACTTTTCATCAACACGTACACTTCCATTTTTCTTTTTTCCTTTCTTAAATTCGTAATCAATCTTTTTGCTTGTAAATTTTAAATGTATTTTCTTAATTAGAATATTAATTAATGTATAAATTATTGGCTGTTTTTTGTTCCACAAGCAATTCTCTGATAATTACATTTTTCAATATTTAATTTTGATAAATATTTCGATTTTTTTTTGTTTGGTGAACTTATTAAATGAACATGAACTTTTAAAACCAGAGTTAAAATATCTCATCTGTTGGGTAAGAGTCAATAAATTCTCGGAGTTTATGAGAATCAAATTTTTAAAGATTTTTTTTCATAATTTTCCTAAATACAATTTTTACATAATTTGGTAAAAAAAACTGAAATTTATTTTACATCGTGAATACCGCAAAACAAAAAGCCCCAAAAAAGATATTTAACTTTTATGATCCTTTTATCGATCATTAATATTTTAACTCATATTATATAGGTTAAACCACGTTTAATTTAAATAGGGGCCCTTGTGAAAGTTTGCTTAAACACATAAAACATTTAAAAGAAAAAAGTAATACTAATAATAATGAAGAAATTAATATGGAATTATGGTTGAAGAAGACAAACAATTAAAGATGAGGATGCATGGTAGAACTAATGAATTAAAAACCCTTAGAATGGAATTAATTCTCCAAATATATTGCCGCATTATACACGAAATATCATTAGCCCATAATGGATAATTGATCAATATTAGCCGCAAGAGAAACATACTATAATTGTCAATAATCTCCCATTTTAAATCTTTATTTTGTCAATAATCTAACTTTCAAGAAAAGTGTAGTGTGAAATAAACTTTGTCTCATGTCATGTGATAGGCTTAAGAATAATGTTAATTAAGTTAGGATAATGAAAGCATAAAATATTTTATAAAAAAAATCTAAATTGATGTCAATTTCGAACCATAAAGCAACCAAGAAACTAGAATCATCTTCCTTATTAACTTACACGTCATTCATGTCCACACAAGGGCGGACCTAGCCGTTTGAGGGTAAGCCTAAGACTTTTAAAATAATTGCTAATATATAGGCCCAAAAAATAATTGCTATTAATATATATACTTAGGTTTATCCTCATATTTTTTTTAAAATAAGGACTATATATATATATATATCTATATATATATATATATAGGCCTACAAAAACTTGTTATTAATATATATTTCCAGGCCCATATCATATTAAAAGTTTAAATTTTTCTTTGCTCTTTTTATGGCTCCACTTGCTTTTTGTGATTTTATTCCCAAATTATTTTTTCTCTTCATTTTATCTTTCTCTTTCTCATGTATTCGCTCTTAAAACTTTTAAAAACTAAAATTGTTGAAGCTTTCGTTATTCAAGGGGTCACAATTATTTATTTTCTGTTTATCTATTTATGTATGTATTGTTTATTTTAATTTAGGTTATTTTACGGTAGAATACGCTTGTTTTTTTGAAGGTTTTTGGTCCTAATTTGATAGAAAAAGCCATAGATATATGAGTTTATTGTGTTTTGTGTCTAGAATATTTCTATTTTCCCAATTAAACCTTGACTATATATTATTGAACATTACTCTTCACCCATCATCCACCCTTTTTACATTTCAAACGTCACCGTTTAGCTGTTCAAAATTATTCAAGAAATTTAATTACTATATATGTTTATACCAAGAAAATTCCACCTTTTTTATTAATTCATATTAAAGTCAAAACAATGTTACTTGATTTAAGTTTTGGTTGACTAACTTACTAGGTTTGATCAAAGTCATGCAACTTATATTATACTTTGAAAGCAAAAAAAGGGGGGAGGGGGTGGTGTTGAGAAATAAGAAATTTGTGTGGAATCTTTTTTATAGGAGTCTTCAAAACCGGTTTTAGGTTTTGAACATCAATAATACATATCCAAATAAAAATTAAACAGTCATGCATATATAAAGGGGATTTAGGTTTAGGGATTTTTTTATATTATATAATATATATATTATATATATATATATACTGGTTTGTATTTTCTCCCAAACCAGTAACTGAACCGAAAATGCGGTTTTTCATTTCTATGAATCGAAACCAAAACGATTTTTAGGTTAACGGAAAATTGGATGGTTACCGGTTCAGTTCGGTTTTTGCATTTTTCGAACACCCCTGATTTTGTGGGATTCCTTTCTTAAGGTTTGATATTTTTAAACTTTTCACTGGTTGTTTACAAACAATGGCGGAGCTGTATTGGAGGTCTCCCTCAGCAGAATCTTGAATCCGCCACTATGCTACATGTTGGTCCCTCTCAACCCCAATCCTCTCTTCAAAACTGCTTAATCTTTTAGGGTTCATATTTTAATTTCATATAATTTATTAAATTTATTTTGCATATCCTTTTATCAATTTTTACAACGAAGAGTTCGGTTCTACTTCTTCCTACCTTAAAACTGCTTATATATAAAAGAGAAGATTTTAAATGATGTTCTATGAAAAAAAAAAAAAAAAAAAAAAAAAAAAGAAGAGGCATGATTGAAGTACAAAACTAAAAACCCTAATTACCAAAGAGTAACCCAAAAAACTGCCAATGTCGTATTGCATGCTGCTAATGGCTTTTTTTTTTTTTTTTAAATTTAAATATTGTTAGGATGAAGTTATTTGTACCAAAATTTTAATTCTCGATAATCCATATCTCATTTTTTTGTTAAATATTAAGGATAAGAGAAACGTTATGAAAAAAAAATATTTGTTCTCTACCACATGCAAATCACCAAATAAATTTGCATGGGAAACAAAATATGATCTCATTCTTGATGTTCCTAAAATAAGAGTTTTCAAACAATTTTTCTACCTCCTTTGTGATTTGGCTCTCCATATTTTATTTATTTTATTTTTGTCTTGTTTTTTATTTTGAGTTTATGATTTTGGCGAGTTGGGAATGAATTGAATTATACAGTCACAGAAGGAGGTTATGAATGAATGGCTTTAACATGATTTTGTGTATTTTGATATAGAAAGGAATTCAGAAATACAGTAAAACCTCTCTATAGTTATAATTGTGGGATCAAACTAATTTATTACTATAAAGAAGTTATAACTTAATAGAGATGTGGTTGCAAAAATTACTATTTTAATTTCTTATTTTATAATGTACATTTTAGTAGTATAATTAGGATTTCAATTAATTGTTTTAGTAGTCATTGCTGCAATTAGACTAGAAAAAAAAAATGAAAATAATCATGAGGATGATAGTATGGAAAGATAAAAGTTTCGTACCAAGAAACTCTAAACATACTTGAGAAGCTAGAAATAATTTAGTTTTAACAAAAAGGTGTCCATGCTAGTAAGTTATTACGTACTCACAAGTTAAAATATGTGGTAAAAACTCCAAAGCATAAATAATTGTCCCAAAGAACTTTAGATAATATTTTATTTCATCTTAAACATTTAATATAACATAACTTCTTTTTTTCTTTTTTTACAATATACTGACAATTATTACCATGTGGATGCGACTTTCTTAAGACTGGAATTAAAAAATTCTTATTTACAACTATCTTAAGTTGGGGCTAGATTTTTTTATGATTATGTAAATGTATTTCTTATATAGAGGTTTTATTGTATGTGGAGGTGATGGATAAATTAATAATATTTGTCAGTATTTTTATTAAGCCGTTTGTTTGCTAAATCAATATAAGGGCTAAACCTAAAGATTTTTTATATTATTTTAACCTAATAATATATACTAAAAAAAAAAAAAAAAAAAAAAAAAAAAATGAGCGTAGGCAAGGATTGGTTTTAACTTTAAGAAATCTTCAATCTCATCTGTTATTATTCCTAGAGTAAAATAAATAAATAAATAAGGAGAAAATGATAGTTAAAATGACAGAAGTTGAATGATGCAAGATGGAAATTTTTGACATGACATGCGAAGAAGACATGAACATGACACATGGTTTAATAAGCAAATCCAGGTTAACTTTAATCTTATTCATATTTG